GTGTCCTATATATATCTATTAGGTCCATCTGATCTAATTTTTCATTTAATTCTATAATTTCCTTGTTGATTTTCTGTCTGGATGATCTGTCCATTGGTGTTAATGGGGTGTTGAGGTCCCCTACTATTATTGTATTGCTGTTGATGTCTCCTGTTAGTTTTGTTAATAGTTTCTTTATGAATTTTGGTGCTCCTGTGTTAGGTGTGTATATATTTATAAGTGTTATGTCATCTTGGTGGAACGTCCCTTTTATCATTATATACTGCCCCTCTTTGTCTTTCTTTATCTGTTTTGCTTTGAAGTCTACTTTGTCTGATATAAGTATGGCAACACCTGCTTTCTTTTGTTCATTATTAGCTTGGAGTATTGTCTTCCATCCCTTCACTTTGAGTCTGTGTTTGTCTTTGGGGCTGAGGTGTGTTTCCTGGAGGCAGCATATTGTTGGATCTTGTTCTTTGATCCATCCTGCGACTCTGTGCCTTTTGATTGGAGAGTTCAATCCATTCACGTTTAGAGTGATTATTGAAACGTGGGGGCCTACTGTTGCCATTTTATCACTTGTTTTCTGGTTCTTTTGGATTTTGTCCTGATGGAGAGCTGTTACTTTGTGTTATTGTCCTTCTGCTTATCTCCTTTGTTCTGGATTTTGTAACCCCTTTCTTTTTTTGATTTTTCAAGAATGAGGTTCTTCCTGAGCATTTCTTGAAGAGGAGGTTTTGTGGCGATGAACTCCCTTAACTTTTGTTTATCTGGGATAGTTTTTATTTCTCCATCGTATTTGAAGGATATTTTCGCTGGGTAGAGTATTCTTGGCTGCAGGTTTTTGTCCTTCAGAGTTTTGAATATTTCATTCCAATCTCTTCTAGCCTGTAAGGTCTCTCCTGAGAAATCTGCCGATAGTCTTATGGGGTTTCCTTTGTAAGTTATTTTCTTCTGCCAGTCTGCCCTTAGTATTTTCTCTTTGTCATTGACTTTTGCTAGTTTCACTACTATATGCCTTGGGGTTGGTCTTCTTGCGTTAATAACGTTTGGAGATCTATTGGCTTCTGTCACATGAAGTTCCATCTTTCTTCCCAAGTTTGGAAAGTTCTCAGCTATTATTTCTTTGAACAGGCCTTCTGCCCTCTTCTCCTTCTCTTCTCCCTCTGGTATACCTATAATCCTTATGTTGCATCTCCTAATTGAGTCGGATAATTCTCGGAGAGTTTCTTCGTTTCTTTTTAGACTTAGTTCTCTCTCCTCCTCTGTCTGCAGCATTTCTATATTCCTGTCCTCCAAATTGCTAATTCTGTCCTCCATATTATTGACCCTACTGTTCAGAGAGTCCAGATTTTTCTTAATCTCCTCCATTGTGTTCTTCATCTCCAGTATTTCTAATTGGTTCTTCTTTATAGTGTCAAGCTCTTTTGTGACATAGCTCCTGAACTCATTGAGTTGTCTGTCTGAATTCTCTTTTAATTCGTTGAGTTTTTTAATAATGGCAGTTTTGAAATCATCATCATTTAGGTTATAGATTTCATTGTCTTTGGGATTGTTTTCTGGGTGCTTATCATTTTCCTTCTGTTCTGGAGATTTAATATATTTTTTCGTACTGCTTGATGGCATGGATTTGTGCCTCCGCATAGAGATAGAGTTTAGTCACTGCTTCCACTTGTTGCAACTGGTGTGGGGGGGGGAAGCTGTTTAGACTGCGCCAACTAGGAACCCTGTCAGCTGTTACTGACTGGACCTGGACCCCTCCTCGTAGTCACAGTGGTCCTGTGGGGTCCCTTGTTGGTTGTGGGGGCAATCGCAAGGGGGCCTCAGGCTGCTGGTGCCTACTGTTGCAGCCCACTTAGATGCACTCCCTCCTTGTGGTCTGCAGCAGTGTTATGGGCTTTCCCAGCAGCCAGGAGCAGGATCACCTATAATCGCCGCTTTGTCCCTAACAGAGGCCACAAGATCACACTTGTCCACTATAGGTCCCAGCAGAGCTATGGGTATCTTCTGCAGCCTGTTGTTAGCTCACCTAGCTGTGCTACTTTTGCCCCAGGGCCTTCCCGCCTTGCGATTGCTAGTCGGGACCTCTCCACTAGTGCTGTGCAGAGGCTTTTGCTGAGGCTGCTGTAGGAACCTGGAGTTCCCCCCGGGCTATGTAGCCATTTCACTGGAGCTCCGCTCTGCCCCACTCCACTCTCACGGGATCTCTGGGAGCCCCTTGCCTCGTCTGGGACATGGCCAGAGTCCGTGGGCCTGGCGGTGGCTTGTAAGCTGCTGCCTTGTGGGGAATTCTGCTCTAGGGAGCTTACTGGTGTTCCGAATGCTGGGCGGGGCCTCCCTGCCAATGGCGAGTGGACGCCCTCCCTGCTGGGGGGGTGCGGGACCCTGAAGCGTTCCCCCGGGCCGCAGAGTCGGGTACTGGAGCTCCAACTCTGTCCCCAAGCACGTCCACGGGAAGTCCGGGTGCCCCCTGCACCGACCCACGTGCCGGAGACCATGGGCCCAGCAGCAGCTTGCGGTCTGGTGCCATGCCAGGGAATCCGCCCACCGGGAGCTTCCCTTTGTTCTGGATTCTGGGCGGTGCCTCCCTGCTAATGGCAAGCAGAGGCCTTCCCTGCCGGTGGGTGCAGGACCCTGGGGATTCCCCCTGGGCTTAGGTGTAATTGCGGGGGCCTTGAGTAGGGCTGTTGTCACCTGTTTCCACCGTCGCTCTGTTGGTAAGTGCACACTCCCGCCCTTGGTGTGTGGCGATGCTATGGGGAAGTCTGCTGGAAAAGAGCCTCCTGCAGGAACTAGGCTGTCCAGGGGTCGGGGGTTGGGGGTCAGAGAGTTTTCACCTATTTCCACCTCCTCCCGGGGGGAAGTCCATCCGCCTTCTGATGTATAGCAGCACGAGACTCTTAGGCGTCTTGTGATGCTATCTGGATATCCTTTGTTAATCAGTGAATGTCCAATTAGTTGTAGATTCAATGGGGGAGAGACAAAGAAGACCACTCACTCCGCCATCTTGGTCCCGCCTGTTAGCTACATCATTATATTTTGATTTCTGCATACACTACATCACGTTCACCATCCAAAGACTAATTACCATCCGTTACCATACACATGTGCCCTGTCACCCCTTTCACCCTCCTCTCTCCCACCTTCCTCTCTGGTAACCACCAATCTAATCTATCTGTGTGTATTATCCTTTTTATATGTTGTTGACTTCACTTTGATAAGATTTTGTTAATAATATTTGCATCTATGTTTATGAAGGATGTTTATGTAGTTTTTTTGTGTCCTATTTGTCTGGTTTTGGTATTAGATAATGTTGCCCTTATAGAATGAGTTGGGAAATATTCCCACCTATTTTTTTGGAAGAGGTTGTGTAGAATTGATATTACTTCTTTCTTAAAAGTTTGGTAGCATTCACTAGTGAAGCCATATGGGCCTGAAGTTTTCTTTGTAGGAAAGTTACATAAACTCAATGTCTTTAATAGATATAGGGTTATTTAGGTCATATGTTTCTTCTTGCATGAGCTTTTGTACTTTGTGTCTTTAAAGATTTTGTCCATTTCATATATGTTGTCAAATTTATTGGCATAGCATTGTTCATAATATTTCCTTATTATCATTTTAGTATCTATAGAATCTGCATCATTGTCACCTTTATCATTCTTGACATTGATCTTTTTTTTTTTTTTTGCTGAGGAAGATTTGCCCTGAGCTAACATCATGCCAGTCTTCATCTATTTTTTAGTATGTGGGCTGCTAGCACAGCATGGTTGCTGATAGCGTGGTGTAGGTCTGTGCCTGGGAACTGAACCTGGCAGCTGAAGCAGAGCATGCTGGACTTAACCACTAGGCAATCAGGGCTGGCCCAATCTTGTTTCTTTTTTTCCTGATCTTTTCTGTCTAGAGGAGTATACATTTTGTTGATCTCACTAAGACAGCTTTTGGTTTTATTGTTTTTTTCTATTGTTTTTCTGTTTTCTATTTTATTTATTTCCACTCTGATCTTTTTTATTTTCTTTCTTGTGCTTACTTTGTGTTTATTTGCTTTTCTATTTCTAATTTCTTAAGGTAGAAACTGAGGTCATTGATTTGAGACTTTTCTTATTTTCTAATATAGGTCTTTAGAGCTATGAATTTCCTTCTACATACTGCTTTAGCTGCATCCCACAAATTTTGATTTTTTTCGTTTTTATTCAGTTGAAATAGTTTCTAGCTTTCTTTTTGATTTTTTTTCTTTCACCCATATGTTATTTAAAGGTGGGTTGTTTAGTTTCCAAATATTTAGGGGTTTTCTGGGATCTTTCTGTTACTGACTTCTAATTTAATTCTCTTGTGGTCAAAGAACATACTTGAAATGACTTTAATCTTTAAAAATTTATTAAGGCTTGTTTTATGGTTGAGAATAAGATCTGTCTTAGTAAATGTTTCATGTATATGTGAACCTAGGGCATTACTCAGTTTTAGCCATCCATAGTTTTATAATTATTATTTAGTTACATTTATAATAATTTGGGGATAGTAGAAGTTATTGTCTTGAGTCAAAAGATGTCTATTTGATGTCTTCAAGGTCCTCAAGGGTAGGCTCTGTGTCCTGTTTACCTTTCTATCTCCTCAGCATTGTTCCTGGCCCAAGATGGAAACTCAGCAGGCACCAGTTGAATGAATGGATGAATGGATGACACTTAGAAGTTGTCAGACTGTGTTCTTGTTTTTGACTCAGAAAATATGCTTATTGTGTTATGTGACAAGACTGAGTCTTACACCTTTGTGTTTTTGTGTCCCTACAGGACTTTGCATAGCGTTTGGCACATTGTAGGTGCTCAGGCAACATTGATGGCATTGAATGGAACTGAAGAGATACCTACAAAGGTGTTTCCTCTGACTGGTGGGGATTTAAAGCCGTCCTGAGGCAAGTGACAAACTGCTCTGACTAAAGTTGGAGAGGTTGTCCTGTCATAAAGCCCCCTAACACATGATGTCACACATAGACATCACTCTCCTTGTGAAAGGGAGGGGCTGTGTGCTGGACTTCCAGACTCAGCTGGGCTCCAGTGCCCTTCTCTGTCTTGGTCTTGGAGCCTGAGGGGAGGTGAGCAGGCTGCCTTGACACTGATATGGTCAAAGGATACTCTACAAATCATTAACGTCATCAGGGTTGCATATTTGGTAAGCGGGCTTGAAAGGCTGCTCTCAGTAAACCCACCAAGCAGGTGAAAATTGACTTTACAACTCCTAGCCTACCTTTTCTGTATCCCTTCCTACTTGGCATCCCCTTCTCCCCTCTTTGCCTCTGTCTCAGGACTCATTTTCTCTCCTTTCCTCCATCAAACCTCCTCTCAGAAGAAGCCTGATAACTTCACTCACCCCAAGTTATAAATGACTAACAAAGCTTACTGTTGAATACATTGCTAGCAATGTTCTCAGAGAGTGTGATTCAGGAGGAAGGTGCTGTAGTGCCCTGCAGAGAGGTGAACTGAGCCGAGGCCTGAAAAGGACCTGCTGGGACAGAAATGGATTGAAGTGGGTTGTGGAGTGAGGGAGAGGTGGGGAGGTGTGAAGACATCCATTGTAGACAGATCTGGTGGGAAGGGCAAGAGACAGTTAGGACAGTAGCTGGAGAAGGGATATGGGTTCAAGGGAGAAGCCTTTTTTTTTTAAATGGAAGAAACAACTGATGTGTTTAAATGCTAATAGGAAGGAGCCAGAAGAGAAGGAAAGGCTGAACACACAAGTAAGAGAGGGGCCCCTCAACCACCCAGGTTGTGAGAAGACTGGGTGAAATGGAGTGCAGGAGTCGGGCTAGCCTCAGAGAGGGGAGTGCAGCCTCCTCCCCTGAAGGGGAAATGGCCTGTGGAAGCAGAAAATGGATGGGTTTGGTGGCAGAAAGTCCAGGGAGCTCCCATCTGATGGTGCCTGTGTTCTCTGCTGAAAGTGAGGTGGGGTTGGAGGTTTAAAGAGAGAATCTGAAATAGTCCCTGTGGAGGATGAGAAACTGACTGAGGAAGTGGAGGCTTGCTGGGCCACGCTGGGGGTCCACCTTACACTGGAGACCTTGACTTAACAACAGCGTTAGTTTGTGTGGAATTCCGACACTGATGCTGGGATTCCGGACAGAGGGGGCATTTTGAGAAGCCTAGGGAGTCTCCCCCAGTACTCCCGAAATTACTCCAAAAATGCTGCATAACACAGAAAATACTTTAAAATATTAGCAGTTTTTAATTATGATTATTTACTATTATAATTGGCCACCTAAACCTGGGGACATTTTACACCAAATGTTCAATAGAACTCTACATTTTTCCTTAATGCTATCCCAACCCTCTTTCCCCATCCTTATTCCCTGGCATCTACCTCTCCAGCTCTGAGGGCTTTGAAACCATCTTTTGTTTGGGGCTCTGAGGTCTTGGGAGAAATTTCTGAGCGTTTTCCAAGCTCCTAGTGCTAGCCCACTTCATCCTGAGTCTGACCTCTAGCAGGCCACCCCCTGGCTGTGTCTTGCCAGTGAGGTCCTTGCCATTCCCCTAGCTGCCTCTGGCCCATTGTGAAACCTGTAAGCCACAGCGTAGAGGAACACTGGGGTCCCAGCACCGTGTGATGCACTGACAGTGGCCCATCTTCTCTTCTTAGAGTGAAAATGATGTTTGATCGCTGCTGCCAGAGAGAGAGGTAAGGTGTAGGTGGGCTCTGTTATCATGCCCCAGATGACCAGAAAGGAGGACCCCCACTTGGGCTCAAGAGGCAGGGAAAATAAGATTTTCTGTTCCCCTTTACCTGTGTGTTACAGTGTTTCTGGGTCTCAGGGTCAGGATGGAGGTCCTGGTCCTGGCAGGTGGGACATACCTGTGTGCATGTAGGCAGGTAGCCACCATCTTGGTAGTGCCAAGAAGGTCAACTTGTCCCAAGGGAGGGGTCCCAGAAGAGGAAGATGGGACATGGGATATTATTTCTAATCTGGTTGTGGGATCTGTCAGTGCAGAGTAGAGAGGGCTTTGGAGGGCTATAGGGAAAAGATCTAATCCAGTGCTGAATGAACAACTAAGATGGACCCATGTAAACAAGTAAAGGAGGAAAGGAGACAGGAGCGGGTCAGGGGGTCCTTGTGTTCTTCAGGCTCCAAGTCTGGCTTTTGAAGTAGGCTGAGACACAGTCATGCTGGCAGTCAGCGGGGAGCCCAGGCTGAGCCCTGTTACAGCTGACGGATTTATTCATCCCCAAGTGTTGATTGGACGTGCCTTAGTGGAGTAGGTCCTGGGGCTCAGATTGGGGAGGAAAGCTAGTACCACCAGTGAGGGCATGGGAGACCCCAGCCTCACATTCAGCTCTGCTTTCCTTCCAGGCTCTATAAGACCCTATACATAGTACACATCTTCATTCTTGCAGGTAAGGGCCTGGGTGCTGTGGTAGTTGGGGATGAAACTGGTTCTCCCTTCAGAGCTACCCCAGTCTCCAGCTGCCACCAGGGCTCCCAGAGGCCCCCTCCTGAGGTTGCCATATACCTGGCTCCCCAGGGGCTCCACACTGCTCAGAGCCAAAGCTGGCCTTCTTTTTCCCTTTCTTCCCTCTGCACCTTCATAGCGAACCTGGGAACCATGTCTAACTCTAAAACCCATACTTCCTCCTGCCAACCACGCCCCCCCCCCCCCCCCCCCACAACAAACCAACCAAAAAACTCACACAGCCTAGTAACATCCTACAGCAGTGGTCTTCAAATTTTTGCTTGCATACATTTGGAAAAACTATATATCCCCTCACACATTTTAACTTAATACCTAATATCTTTCATCACAAGTTTAAATAGTTTAAAAGGATATGATTTCCGGAATATTGTAAATATTGATATTTAAACATAATTACATTGCTCTTTTAAATGGTTTAACAAGTCTTTCTTCACCTCCCTGCAGGAGCGGTGTACTACTATTTTCACGGGTCTGTGGGGAAAACAGCCCCTGACCATGAGATTGTTGGGGAATCATCCCAGGTAGGAACTTCTGTCAGGGCCTAGAGGCTGGGACAGTCTCACTGTAGCCTGAATAGGGGTCATGCTCCTTGACCTCAGATGATCAACCAACTCTGTGTGTGTGTGTGTGTGTATGAATGTGAGGGCTCTGGAGAAGTTCCCTGTATTTCTGGCAAAGTGTCAAAACAGAGGACCACCCCTCATGGGCTGACCATGTGGTCACTTCAGAGCTCCATAACAGTGGCCTAGACAAACCTGAGAGAACAGATGATTCCCTAATGCATGTGAGTAGCCCTTGACTGTAGTTCCACACTCATGTGAATATGGTGGTGGTGAGTAGGACACCTGGTGTTGCATACCCTCTGTGATGTCTCAGGTGCAAGAACCTATGGCAGAAGCCCCTACTCCCAGCCCTTGGTCAGGAGAACACAAATGGATGCCCACTGGATGCCTGCTGAGGGCCACGCACTGTATTAGGTGCTGTCCATCTGTTATGTCATTTAAACCTCACAGCAACCAGCAGCTCCCATTTTATAGATGAGGAAGAGTGTCTAGACCCAGGCTGCCCAAAGTGATAGGACAGAACAGCACACCTGGTCTCTGGAGGCTTCCTGCTCTCCGTCTAGTGCTCTTGGGAAGAGGAGATTCCTCTGGGGACAAGGTTATCTGTGACCCAGAAACACTGAGCAGTGTGGGCTGCACCCTTTGGGAGTGGCTGTTCAGAGGCTGGGGAGCCAGGAAGAAGGCCCATGTTCGTAGGTGCCTTGAAGATCACTGAGTCCCACTTTGCTTCCTTTTTTTTTTAAAAAAAAATTAACCAGTCAAATTTCCATTTTAAAAAGTTATACTGTCATCAAAGATAGATATGCATGTACATAGTTTGATGAGTCAGAGTTTTAAGACTTCAAACAAAAAACTAGCTCCCTTTTGCTCCACCCCTCCTCACCCAGGATTCCCACAGCCCGGGCAAGTCTTTCCATCTTCCAACCTTTCCTGCTGTAGCCTTTGATTTTGCCTTTGTGTTTCTAAATAGACAGCTTATCCTGCTTTGTCTTGATTTTTCAGATTTAAACATTATCCAGTGAATTCCTACAATGGAACATGAGGATTTAGCTCTTGTAACAACTGTACACTTACTGCACCTCCAATACACACACCTCTTCTCTCCAGCCTTACAATACAGTCATAGCCTAGTTTTTGGCATTGTAAATTTTAAAATCTGAGTAATGACATATTCGATTCTTAACATTTTTTAAGTATCACTTTTGCTTTTTTGCTGATTTTTATCATTTTGGCTTTTAGGTCTCCCTCCCCCACAGTGGGCTCTTTTTATCCATTTTTTAAAATTAAGGTATTATTTACATAGAGTAAAATTCATCCTGTTTAGTGTACAGTTCTGTGAGGGTTTTTTTAAAACAAATTTTTGGTGAGGGAGATTGGCCCTGAGCTAACATCTGTTGCCAATCTTTCCTTTTTTTTTTTGAGGAAGATTAGCCCTGAGCTAACTACTGCCAATCTTCCTCTTTTTGCTGAGGAAGACTGGCCCTGAGCTAACATCTGTGCCCATCTTCCTCTCCTTTATATGTGGGACGCCTACCACAGCATGGCTTTTGCCAAGTGGTGCCATGTCCACACCCGGGATCCAAACCAGTGAACCCCGGGCTGCTGAGAAGCAGAAGGTACGAATTTAACCACTGCGCCACCAGGCCGGCCCCTGATCTTCCTCTTTTTTTAATTTTCTCCAAAGCCCCAGTACATAGTTGTATATCCTAGTTGTAAGTCATTCTAGTTCTTCTATGTGGGACACCGCCTTAGCGTGACTTGATGAGTGGTGTGTAGGTCTGTGCCCAGGCTCCGAACTGGCGAACCCTGGGCCACTGAAGTGGAGTGTGCGATCTTAACGACTCAGCCATGGGGCAGCCCCAATTCTGTGAGTTTTGATAAATGTATACAGTTGTGTAACCGCCACCAGAACCAAGACACAGAACAGTACCATCACTTCAAAAAATTCCCTCATGCTCACGGCAGTCAACCCTTCCCCTGCTCCCAGCCCCTGGCATCCAGTGAACAGTTCTCTGTGCCTATAGTTTTGCCTGTGCAAGATTGTCACATAAGTATGTAGACTTTGAGTCTGATTTCTTTCACTTAGCACAATGCACCTGAGATCCATCCAGTTGTGAGTGCAGCAGTCATTTGATTTTCTTATTCCTGCGTAGTTGTCCACTGTGTGGATGTCCAACAGTTTGTCCATTCGTCAGTCAAAAGGCATTTGGATTGTTTCCAGTTTTCGGTGATTACAAATCAAACCACTATAAATATTCATGTATAAGTTTTGTATGAACATAGGTTTTCCTTTCACTTAGGTATATATCTAGCAGAGGGATTGTTGGGGCATGTGGTAAGTGTATGTTTAGTTTTGTAAAAAACTGTCAAACTTCTCCAAAGTAGCTCGTACCCATCTGGCATTCTCACCAGCAATGAAAGAGAGGTTCCAGTTGTTCCACAGTCACTCCAGCACTTGCCTTTATTTTTTAGCCATTCTAATACAGTCATGTGTCACATAACAACATTTCCATCAATGACTGACCGCATACATGACAGTGATCCCATAAGAATAATACTATATAGCCTAGGTGTGTAGTAGGCTATACTATCTAGGTTTGTGTACATACACTATATGATGTTCGCACAATGACAAAATCGCCTAATGAGCCATTTCTCAGAACGTATCCCTATCATTAAGCAATGCATGACTGTAGGTGTATGTCATAATTTCATTAGACCAATATTGAAGGTTTACATTTTAAAACTATGTAAGTAGTATTCCTAGCTGAGTCACGTAGTGTACTATGATTACTCTTCTTTGTGTATAATTTTGGTTTTGCCTCTTTTTTAAAATTTTAGTTTTCTCTGTATCTATAATTAATTCATCTAAGCTCTCTGCCAAAAACATAAATCTCCTTCTAATACATTTAGACAAATTAGATGATTTATTAGTATGATCACTTTCATGGAGACAGATCTCATGGAGCCCTCCATCCTCCTGTTTCCATCTGGATGGGATGGTCAGCCGTCCTAGGATCTCCCTTCACCGTTGCTCTGGGGAACACTGTATTTCTCTCATGTGTGGGAGCCCATGGTACCCTTCTGTTTTGGTGGAGCACAACCTCCAGTTGCTTCCTGAGGGGTGATCTTGAGATATTACATGTCTGAAAAGGTCTTAATTCATACTCGACTAAGAGTTTGGCTGGGTATAGAATTCTAGACTAGAAATAATTTTCTCACAGAATTTGAAGATCTTCATCGTCTTCTGGCTTCAAAGGTTGGTATTGAAAAGTCTGATGAAAGTTGAATTCCTGAAACAGGCTTTTTCTTTGCATGTCTGCAAGTTTTTAGGTTCTTTGTTGTCTTCAGTGTTCTGAAATTATTTATGACATAACCTCAGATGGGTCTCCTTCATCCATTGTCCTGGACACTTAGTGTTTCCTTCTCTTCTGGAAACTCATTTGCCCTCATCTTTGGGAAATTGTTTTGGTAGAAAAGCAATGTGTTTATTTGATATCTCTCCCTGCCATTCCAGTCTCTGTTCCCTCTTTTAGAAAGATCTATGATAGAGATGCTGGAGCTCTTGATCTCGCTCTGTTCTTTCTGGGGAATATTTCTTTCAACTTTTATCTTCTACACTTTGATTAGCTTTTTCATTCCCATTATCATATCATAATTTTGTTTTTCACAAATTAGAGGTTGTTATTTGAATATTTCTATTTTGGAGCCTATTCTTGTTTTATGAATGCAAAGTTTTATCTTTCTAAAGACATCAATTACTGTTTGTTTGAAGTTTTCCTTAAATCTCTGGTAATCTTAGGCGTCTGCATATACAGGCAGTGACGGTGGACTAGTCTGTAGCTGAGCCCTTAGATGTCACCTCAGCCTTCCCTCCCTCCTCTCTCTCCTTGTCATGCAGCCCATAGGGAAGACCTTAAGGCCAGTGTGGGGGCTGATGGATAAGTGCTACCCTGTGACCACTCAGGTGGGTAAGGGCTGGGGTTCCCTCTTCCCCTAGAGTGGGGTGGCTGTCCTGGGCACCCTTGGAAGGCACAGTGAGAGAATGGGCCAGGCAGGGAAAACTCCCAGCCACACATAGCTGTGTATCTCCTCTCTTGTTTCCCTCTATAGAGACGTAGAGTTAAGAGTGGGAAGAAGCAAGCCTCTGAGGTAAGTGATGCCTCCCCTGGAAGGGTCCAGGGCTGGGGCTGTCTCGTGTCAGAGCTCCATGAGACCCACAGACACCCCAGCCCATGGCAGGGAGCCCTAGGGATAGTGGGAGGGCCCCCTATGGGAAACTTGCCACTCTACCACAGCTTGAGCTGAGAAGGGAAGGACATCCCTGGCAAAGCAAAGAACTATACACACACCCCAAGTGTGGAGAACAGGGGAGGGATGAGGCATTCTGGGGAGCTTTCTGCCTATATTCTGCCCTCTTGTTCCTCCCTGCAGGCCATGACCCCCAAGGCAATGGGAGGACTGAATGATGCTGCCCCCAAGGAGGAGACTGACATCTTGTCTCAGGATGAAGGGGAGGTGAGATCCCTAGGGGAGGAAGCAGCCAGCGCCATTCCTTCTGGGAAGGAGGTGGCTGAGGAGGAAGAGGTGGCAGGGACCCCAAGCTGGGAGGTAAGGCAGCTTGGCACCCCAACTGGAACATCCCCAGCATGGGTCCTACTGAGAAGCCCCAGAGCACTGCAGGGTAGGGAGGCCGTGGGGAAGGAGGCTGGGGTGGGGGCACCCCTAAGACCACTGGCCCAAACTGCCATCTCAGTGGAGCAAGGAGCTCTGTGTGGAGGGGAGAGGCAGTAAACATGGTGTGAGCAGAAAGTAGGTCTGAAGCCTAGCCTCCTCTGATTTCCTGTGAAGTGAGGCCTCAGTTTCCCCATCTGCACAGTGTAGAACCTGTCTCATCCCACCACTGTGCTCCTTCCTTTCCAGGGAAGTAAAAAGATCCGGAAGGAGATGGCTGTACATCCTGCTGGTAAGAGAGGACCCCAGGTGCCTCCCTCCCTAATTTCAGTGACCTTGCAGAGGTCACAAATAGCCCAGCCCCTCTCAGACCCTCCTGCCCCAGAGAGGGAAGGGACGACCCCTGGTGGCCAGATGCACCCACTTTCCTGAATGAGCCTCCCCCACCTCCTGCTTCCTTCCTGCTTGGCAGGAACTCAAGGCCACTCCCGTGAGCTGGAGGAATACCTAGCCTTTTATCAATGTGGACCTGCTGCCCTGCCATCAGGGACCCCTGGCCCTGGCGAAAAGTCCTCCCAGCAAGGGACCCACAGGGCACACTTGCTTGTGCTTTTCAGAGGCCTCTGAGGTGGAGAGCAAGGAGGAAAGGCCCGTGGGTAGGGTCCCCCAGCTCCTGAGGAAGCTGTGGCTGGGCTGGTTCCCAGCCTCTGACGTCCCCGAGACTCTGAACCACGAATGACGAAGTATCAATAAATCCACAGAGTTGCTGCTTCTGCAGACTCGCCTGCCTCCTCTCTGGGGCTTCATTCTTCACAAACCCAGTGTGGCCCCGTCCACACTCCCTGTCCTGACAAGCTGCAGGAACGCCCCCCTCCTGCCACCAAGCCCTGACATGACAGTAGATACTCTGGAGAGGCTGAAGGAGGCCCTGCTGGCTTTCTGACTTAGTGCCAAGGGACACATCAAATTCCCTGAGTGCTGAGAGCTGGGAGCTCCCTGTCATGAGTGCGCCTGGAAGACATTCCACCCCTGTCAGGGATGCTGTTGGGTGAGGCTGATCTGGAAAAAGAGGCCTGGAGACGCTGCTTCTGCCCTGAGTGTTGGTGGTCCCTAAACTGTTACCTAAATGCACCAGGGGGTCTGCCCAAGACTCGGGTAAGCAGACAGTCATTAGAAACCCTTGGGTACTGCCTGTATGATCAGTCCAGAGCCAGTCAACTGTAGGGGTGGGGACAGGGGGAGCATGGCAGTCTGTGCCCTTGGCTAGGGCTCAGGGCTAACAAGGTCACAGCCGCAGAGTCAGAGCAGTAAGTGAGGCCCCAGTGGCCATCTGGTACAACAATCTCATTGGCTGAAGGGGAAACAGAAGCCCAGGGCAGTGGGAGACTGGCCCAGGGTCATGGACTGTACTGGCAGAGCAAGGACAGGAGCCAGGGTATCCTCCTCCAGGGTCCCAAAGTGACCTCCTTCTCCTCTGGCCATCCCACTATCACATGGGTCCAAGGTTGATCCATGTTCCTAGGACATGCCTGTGGCCCACAGGGCTTATTCCCTGCTCTTGGCCAAGCCTGCTGAGAGCCTGGCCTGACACAGCCACTCTGAGGATGGTGTTATGGGTTGGAGCCCAGACCAGTGTACTCCTCCAGCTCCAGCCTGGCTGTGAGCAACTCCTACTGCTCAGTGGCCTGGACATGAGTATCCCTGAGGAGCTGAGAAAGGGAGACCCTCCTATCTTTGGATGACTAAGAGGGTCAGGGAGGTGCTCACTCCTGGACTGCCACCAGGCTTCCCAGGGAGGATGCTGGCACCTGAGGACTGAACCTGCGTGTTAACCTGGCACATGCCTTCCCGGCCATCCTTGAGTTCCCCACCTATTGGGGTGTCATAGATGAAGGCGGGCAGCAGATTTGATGGTGCTGGCTGAGCTGCTGGCATGTGCTGTGAGTTGGGTGTCATTGGGCCTGAAATGTGTGTATCCAGACTGAGTAGGGCCCTCCCCATCCCCACCAGGGCCTCAATGATGTCTCTCAGTAGACTATTCCACCTCCTCCTGTCAGGAGCCAGGACCTATGTGTAGATTTTGTCATTAATTTGAGTAACCAGTGTTGGGTCTCCATGGGTAACTAGGGGGTAAGCTGTCACCTTCTGAGCCTCAGTATGCCAGTCTCTCAAATGGGGTCAAATGCCACATAAGGCTTGATCAGGGAAGGGTAGGAGCTGGTCCTGGGGAGGCTGTTGAGGCCACATCACAGCCAGGAGCTGGTCAGGGGGCCCATAAGGGACTCAAACCAGGTTGGAGCATCATACTGGTTTATTGGACATCAGGACCCCTGCTGAGGAGTGGGTTCAAGGCTTGGTGTCACCCCTCTAGCGGGGCTCAGCGCAGAGCTGGTAGGGGGACGGGGTCACCAGGAAGCCAAAGACACCATGATCGCTGGGGCGGGGCTGCCCAGCGGGCACCGAGAAGCTGAAGCGCTGCAGGAGGCAGGTGAAGAAGAGGAAGAGCTCCATGCGGGCCAGGGGCTCCCCGAGGCACGAGCGGCGGCCTGTGGGTGGGGATGGGGGTCAGCGAGCCTGGGGGCCTGGGCTCCACGCCTCCAAGACTCCCCAGGAGGGGCAGCGAGCCGGGCTCCCCACAGGCACCTGCTGAGAAGGGCATGAAGGCCTCCTGCTTGACGAAGTGGCCCTGGGCGTCAAGGAAGTGCTCAGGGTGGAAGCGGAAGGGCTTCTTCCAGACGGTTTCATCCTTCAGCACTGATGACAGGTTGGTGATGAGCGTGGTCCCCTGGCAGGAGATGCCTGGCATGGGTGTGGTCTGGGCTGGGGGATGCCTAGAACCCTGCCACCAAACGTGCTTGGGCCACACTCTCTGCCTGGTACAGACCTGATCTCTTGCAAGTCAATCTCAGCCCCAGAAGCTGCCTAGCACCCTCCCTGTCCCCATGTCATGCCCAAGTGACCTCCCTTCATAGGTGCCCTCATGCCACCTGTCCCTGCATGCATGGCTCCTCCAACACACTGCAGCATATTTTAGTTTGTCTTCTCCCCCCAGCCCCCCACTGGGGCTCTGAATGGACGGGGTCAGCCCTGCCTCTACTTCATCCCCATACCCTCCCAGGCTGGACACTTGGTGCCAGTGGAAATGAGAATTAGGTGGCTTGGGTTCCAGTCCTGGCCCCACCTGGCAATGGTAATGCTGGGGCTACCAGGGGGCACGTGGAGCTGGGCTGGGGTGAGGAGGGCCGCAGGCCTACCTTGGGGATGAGGAAGCCCTGCACTTCAATGTCGTGAGATGTCATGTGGGCCACGCCCAGTGGGATGATGTCCCCAAAGCGCTGAACCTCGTGGACCACGGCCATGGTGAAGGGCATGCAGGCCTGGTCCCCCATCTCTGGTCACCGCGCCTGCCCTATCACCTCATCGATCTCCTGTTGGACACGGCCTGGAAAGACAAGCGTCCCCATAGTGGTCAGAACACAGGGGGCTGCACCCCAACCTCCTGACTCCCATGCAGGGGCTGTGCCCATGTGGAGGAGGAGGTTACTTTGACCTGTGAGCAGGGCCCAGCCTCTGCTCAGAGCTCCTGGTGGCCATCCCAAGGTCGGGGTCCCCAGCCTGTCTGCCTCCACCCTGGCCCATCCCACCAGGCTTCCAGTGTGGGCTCACATTGCACATCTGGGTGCAGGATCATGAGCAGGAGCGCCCAGTCCAGCGTGGTCGAGGTGGTCATCATTCCGGCAGAGAACAGGTCAGCCACCAGCATGCGTAGGTTGTCATCATTGAAGCTGCTCTCCAGGTTCCCGTTGGCCTGGGCCATGCAGAGAGGGTGGGCTCAGGGGCAGAGTGAGGGAACCCCAAATGGCCTCTCACTCTGCACCCTTCAGCCGAGGTGCCCTAACGCTGGGTGATACATAGGCCCCACCTTGCCTGGGCTTGCATCATTGGGTCCTCAACCCACCAGCTTGTCCCTGTCCTTGGCAGCTCACCTTCTCCACTTCATCCAGGAAGGTATCAGTCAGGTCTCGAGGTGGTTGGGCCCGGTCCCGGGTTATCCTGTGTTCGGTGACCAGCTCATCTAGCAGGGCCATGAAGGTCTTATGCCCTGGAAAGACCTTAGCAGCCAGCCCGGGGATGTGCAGGAGCACGGGGATCGCGTTCAGCACCTTTTGGGGCCATACATGTACGGTCCTGGATCCTCACTGTGCTCCCGTGTTCACCTCCCCCAGTCAGTTCCCAGCATCCTCCAGGGTGTCTCCACCATTGACCTGGTTCCTACCAAAGTTGAGGCCTCGACACTGTGTCCTTACCTGGGCCCCAAAAGGATAAATCTAAAGTCTACATCTCATGGGTTCCTGTGGCTTTCAACGAAAGAGGTACAAATTCTTTAGCCCTCCCCTGGGGCCGGCTGAGCCAAGGTCCCTCTCTGCAAATCCTCCTCCGCGGAGGCCCATTGCAGGGCAGAAGCCTTCTCCTTGGAGCTCGCCTGCAGGGCTCCTTGGCCTCCTCCACCCTCTAACCTCGGGCAGGAAGCCTGACTCCTCTTTCACCAAGTCCTCTGTTAGGTCCACGAGCTTGAGGAAGCGCGGGTCGTTGTAGTCGAAGCGGCGCCCGAAGGTCAGGGAGGCGATCACGTTGCTCACCGCTTTATTCAGGAGGGCGTTGGGGCTAAAGGGCCTTCCTAGAAGGGGACGGTGCAGGTCACGGGGTCGCCTCCAGGTCCTCCTCTCCAGCCTCCATCCCTGTCTCCTGGCCCTCAGCCCAGCACTCACCGGCCTGGTCGGCGAAGGCGGCACAGAGGTACGAGGCCTCCTGGGTCACCCACTGCTCCAGGGACTTCTTGCCCATGCCGAAGTTGCGCAGGGTGGACACGGAGAAGCGCCGCTGCTCCCGCCACGCGCGTCCAAAGCGGGCGAAGATCACCCCTGTGGGTGGGGAGGCCACGTGGGCGTGGCTCGGCTGTGACCTCGCCCCTCTTCTGCGCGCACACCTTGCTCACAGGCTCGCCTGCCCTTCCGTCAAGGCATCAATATTCCCCTGACCCCGCCCCAGGCTCTACTCTCTCAGTCCCGCCCGCTTTGGTGAAGGCCCCGCCCCTGCTCCCACCACCCAAACCACATTGGTCCCCTCAAAATCCCGCCCACTTTACACTCGCCCCTGGCTGGGGAAGGGTACAACTCTCTGTCCGCCCACTTTGCTCGCCAGCTCTACCCGCTGCGGGTAGTTCTTGGCCCCAATCTCCTCTCCACACCGTGACACTCTTCCGATTCAGGGAAGGCCCTGGCCCGCCCCATACCCGCCCCATACCAGCCCACACTGACTCAGTCCCCCCTCTTTCCCGCCCACCCGGACGTCCCCTTTCTTCTCGCATTGGCCCGGTGCCCGTCCATTCCCTGCAAGTCCCCGCCTTCCGCGCCGCCCACAGCCACCCCTCTCGAGCTTGGCGCAGGCTCCTTCCTCCGCCTGCTGTTCAACAAATTTGCTGAGATATCCTTGCGCTAGGAGACCACCATCCTTCCTCCAATTGTGCCTGCCGGGTCTACGGTCAATGCGGTCCCAGTCCCTGCCGGGCGGCGGTGCCCCCCCTCCTCCGCTTGCCTTCGGAGCGCGGCCTGAAGCCCAGGTGCTCGAAGATATGTGCAGGTGGGCGGTCGGAGGTGTCCTCGCCGCGGTGCACCAGCGCCTCGCGCATGGCCGCCAGCCCGTTGAGCACGACCACGGGCTTCCAAGCCAGCTGCAGGCTGAACACGTCCCCGAAGCGACGCCGCAGCTGCGGGCCGAG